TTACAGTATGTTAGGATTGATTAGTTAAATTTCAGTAAAATGATTGGTTAAGATATAGCTAAGCAGAACTCAAGTTTTACTATATAGTCTGCAGTCAATCAGGAAGTAAGGGGGGGGAATGGGAACAGGGAATGGGGGTGGGGAAATTGGATTCATGTTTTGCTAAGGGGGGAATGGGAACAGGGAACGGGAACAGGGATGGCTCTGTGGTGTCAGAGCTGGGAAGGGGGACACTGAGGAAGGAAACTGGAATCGTGCCTGCTGGAAGTTCACCCCAATAAACATCCAATTGTTTGCACCTTTGCATTTTGGGTATTGTTGCTCTCTGTTCATGCGAGAAGGACTAGGGAAGTGAGAGGGTGAAGGAATAAGCTCCCTAACAGTACCACTGTGTGCAAAATGTCCAGCAGGTGGTGCCGCTTGTGCTGCACCTCCTCCAACGGTATTTCGAGAGCTTGAGCTGTCCTTCACAGCGACTCTTGAAACTGAAAGTAGTAGTCTGGGAGAGAAGAGAGAGTCAATGACACAGCCTTGCCTCGGGATGATGAGAGAAATCCCTCCGAATCTGTCAGTACCATTGGGGCCGGGCTGATCGGGGCATCATCCAATCCCGGATTCAAATGCCTACTCGGCGAAGGACAGGTCTGTGCTACAGGAGAGGATTCCCGTGCTGAACAGGACTGTTCTGAAGGAGAATATTGGGGCCACAAGCTCCCATATGGCCAATCTGGTTGGATCCTGCTGTTGCAGCGCTGGTGCCCAGGGAGTCAGGTACCAGTAGCTCCTGGATTGAGGTAAGGGAGGGTATTGCCATGGTGCCATCGGGACCTTCTGAGAGTCACATCTTCAGAATGGAAGCAGCGGACCATATGTCCAGGCCCTCAGACTCTGAGGAGGAACTGAAGTTCGGCATCAATGATGGTGCTGATGGAGCAGGGAGCGTCACAGGAACACAGCCAAAGAGTTGACAGGTTGGATACAGGGGATGGGGCCCTCTCAGTAGGTGAAGGAACCAGGACACATGGAAACTTCATCCTTCCCAGAGTGAACAGTTCATGAGGCCCGGGGGGAGGGCGGGGGGAGCACTTCAGAGTCTCCCTGGAGTCAACGGCACCAGGTCTATGGATGGAACTGGGGCCAGAAAGGGGAAACGTCTCGGAACTGGTGATTCACCAGATGTCGGCGGAGCCCATGCCGGGGTGTGCGAGTCCATACCTGGAACTGGCAGCTCCAGCAAGTGATGCTGCTTTTTGACGCTCTTGGAGCGGGGTGCCTCTCCTTGGCCAGAACTCATGGACGCTATGGCATCCTCCTTCGACCTGGCGGAAGACTCACTGCTATGCCTATGTGCGTGTTTCTGTGACTCGACTAGGCCCCGGCGTGGGGTCCGTATCACTGGTGCCAGCGGAGCCGGACTGAAGCTCCACGGTAGGAGATACACGCTTAGACTGTTCAGTCCGATGTAGTGGGGGGTTCCGGGGCCAGGCTTCAACCCCAGCCCAGGGCGACTTCCATGAGATGCTTCTTAAGACGGGGGGGTGAGGGGAGGGCGC